GCGCGCTCACAAAGCCACGCTGCACGGTGGGACGCAGCTGGTCATTCGCACGCTACGTCAGCGATATTGGATCATCGGTTGTCGGAAGGCGGTGAAATCTCACGTGCACGCGTGCGTTATGTGCACGCGTCACTCCGCGATACCTTGCTCCCAACTCATGGGGGAGCTTCCCGCCGCTCGAGTTAATCCGTCGCCGCCGTTCGCACATATCGGCGTGGACTACGCCGGTCCATTTAATATTCTCCCGTTCGTCGGGCGCGGGCAGAAGACCCGAAAACATTACGTCGCTTTATTCGTCTGTCTGGCCACGCGAGCCGTGCACCTCGAGATGGTCGAGGATTATTCCGCTGACGGATTCCTGTCCGCGTTCCGCAGATTTTCGAGTCGCCGCGGGTTACCGCGTCGCATGTACAGCGATAACGGCACCAACTTCCATGGCGCCGATCGTGAACTCCAACGGCAATTCCAATCAATGATGCACGATCCTGCGATACGGGATTCCATAGCCGTCGACAAAGTCGACTGGGAGTTTATCCCGTTGGCCGCTCCGCATTTCGGCGGGCTGTGGGAGGCCGGAGTGAAGAGCTTCAAAGGTCATCTGAGGCGAGCCATCGGGGCTCGCACGATCTCGCGGGCTGAATTTGCGACACTTCTTTGTCAGATCGAGGCATGTCTGAATTCCCGACCGATTGCTGCTCTTAGCGACGACCCTAGCGATATGTCCGCGCTCACGCCCGGACACTTCTTAATCGGGCGACCGTTAATCGCCGGGCCGGAAGAGTCCGTACTCGAGATCAACGCGGATCGCCTTTCCCACTGGCAGCTCGTCAGCTCCATGCGGGAGCAATTCTGACGCGCCTGGTCGCGCGACTATCTGTCGTCGCTTCAGGCCAGAACCAAGTGGCGAAACGCCGCCTCTAATCTAAAGGTCGGTGAGCTGGTGATTGTGAAAAATCCCTTGCTCCCTCCGAGCAAGTGGGATCTCGCGAGGATTGAACGCGTTCACCCAGGGTCCGATGGACTCGTTCGCGTTGTTACAATCCGCTCCGAGCGCTCTCGCCTGAAGCGACCGATAACTCAGTTGTGCAAACTTCCGATAGATTGCAATTTGTCAGCTTCAGCGAGCGACTGATCGCCTTGCTGAAGTTCTACGTATTGTAATGAAATTCTCGAGCCGCGTTGTTGATAACGCGTGCTTAATTTTATAAGTGTCATACTGCGAATTGTAGTGTAAGACTTTATTAGCTCTAGTTCATCGTACTACTTAGTTTAAGTTTAACGGTCGATCTGTGACAGGCACTAGGAGCGTTTCTCCCCGCGGTACATTGCTTTGCGCCGATCATTCTATTCACTGGGTGAGCAGAGCCGATCAATTGACTGTAACTCTGTCCCCTTATACATTGTCTCGCCCGCGCTACGAATTTGTTTCTCCACGCACGTTACGTCTACTTTCTGTTTCGTCTACTGCGTATACGAGGCGGGCGGTATGTTCAGGATTCGAACATTTATCCGAATCGCTCGTCCAGATCGTTCGAGAAATTTGTTTTTCTCGTATGTCTATTGTATATCTCAACTTTCGAGCGATCTCGACGGCGCAAACAAGTATTCGCGTGTCATTGACGACGAGAGTCCTTAGATGCGAAAAAAGGGCTTTCGTCACTCGTGTTAT